TTCTAATAGCCCATGCAATCTCACTCACAGCTGCATGTATAATTATTTTCTACTGTTCTTCATTTTTATGTAATTATATGATCATTTCTTCATTTAACAAATATTCCTGGAGCACCTGATATGTACCAGAACTGTATCTGACCCAGATAAATTAGTGCAATAGCAATTTTAGTTTTCTGTTCAAAAAGTTTAATTCTTTCATTTACCAGAAGACAGATATTTATACAAACACATCAACCAATGGGAATTAAGGAATTATAAAAACTTTTAATATAAAACATGGAAACCAAAGCTACTCACTTGTTCCATGTTCTTTTATTAAGAGTTATTAAGTTAGCTTGGCGCCTGTAGCACACTGGTTACGGCACCAGCCCCGTGAGCCAAAGTTGGCGAGTTCTAACCTGGCCCAGGCCGGCTAAACAATGATAACTGCAACCAAAAAAAATAGCCAAGTATTGTGGCGGGCCACTTGTAGTCCCAGCTACTTGGGAGGCTGAGGCAAGAGAATCACTTAAGCCCAAGAGTTGAGGTTGTTGTGAGCTGTGACATACTGGCACTCTACTGAGGGTGACATAATGAGACTATCTCAAAAAAAAAAAAAAAAAAAGGAAAAAACTATAAGCAATTCTTCATATATACTCAAAATATAAATATTCTCCTGTTTTCCTAAGAAGCTGGTAATAATCCTTAAGTATTTCTGGTAGCATATTAGAATTTCTGTGTGTCCCACATTGGGCTAGTTTTATTCAATTTTGCTGGAATATCTTCTGGCATGAAGGTCATTACTACGGCATTTCACTTAATCATTCATTCAAAATTTTCTCTTTGAGGGTGGTGCCTGTGGCTCAGTGCAGGGCACCGGCCCCATATATGGAGGGTGGTGGGTTCAAACCCAGCCCCGGCCAAACTGCAACAAGAAAATAGCTGGGCATTGTGGTGGGCGCCTGCAGTCCCAACTACTCAGGAGGCTGAGGCAAGAAAATCATCTGAGCCCAGGAGCTGCAGGTTGTTGTGAGCTGTGTGATGCCATGACACTCTACCCAGGGTAACAAAGTGAGACTCTGTCTCTACCAGAAAAAAAAAAAAATTTCTCTTTTGAGTTGTAAGTCCTTTAGTTTTCTCTCTTCCACATTCACAACCATAGATTTGTTTTCTTTTGTGAAACAAAATTAAGATCATACAATATACCCCAACCCACATCTACTTTTAATATAAACTATGGAGGCTCAGCACCTGTGGCTCAAGTGACTAAGGCGCCAGCCACATACACCTAAGGTGGTGGGTTCGAATCCAGCCCGGGCCCACCAAACAACAATGACAGCTACAACCAAAAAATAGCCAGGTGTTGCAGCAGGCGCCTGTGGTCCCAGCTACTTGGGAGACTGAGGCAGGAGACTCGCTTGAGCCCAGGAGTTAGAGGTTGCTGTGAGC